TCCGCTGGAAGCTGCAGGATGCGACACGTTTGCCCTGGTTTCGGCCTGGACCGAAGCTCGGGTCACCCGAGCCGAGCCGAGCCGCTCCGGCGGTGGGCAGCAGAGCCACGTTTACCGAGCCGAGCCGGGGCTTTCGGAAAATCAACGCTGACCGGCGTGCCGGCCGAAGCCTACCTGCGCGGGGCGGGGGGAGATGAGGGGGCCCTTAATCCCTCGGCCACTTGGGATTTCTGGACACTATGCGTCAGTTTTAGCTTGTCTCCAGAGCAGTGCACATCGCAGCCGAATAGAAGTCCGCGTCGCGTGTCATCTTTCTTGCGACGCTCCGTCGTGATGCAAAGTTTTGTGTGTCACATCGGCGCTCAGCACAGTGTGTACAGTGCCGGTTTGCCTTCGCCTTTCCGTGCTCAAAAATTGCTTCTGGCTGCGTGCAGTCAGCACTCTGAAGCATCTGAAATCCGCGGCAAGCAGGCTGTGAAAGTTGCGTAGCCCTATGCTGATATTGCGTCTTCCAAACTAAAGGGGCGGGTGATGAGCGAGTGGGTGGCGTTTTGAAAATTTGCCATTCCTCTTTCATCCTTGTCCCCAAAGTATTTTCATCGTGCCGAAAAAGTTTCCACGAAGTGTGCATCTGGTTCCAACATGCTGCTTTCCAGTGTTTACAGCTGCATCTCCTGGAGTCTTACATTCGAGGACTAGGTTTTTCTTGGAAAGCTCTCGCAGCAATATCATATTTAGTTAAAGTTTTGCGCAACTTTGGGTGCTACAATGAACAACAAGAGCTGTTTTACAACTGCTCAATTTTGTGCATGCATTCCATGTTTCTCGGCAATTTAAAACATGCGTCTCCAAAAATATACATCCTGACAGAAGTGGTAATTTTATTACCTGGGTGGCTTAGAATTCAAACCCGCGAGGCGAAAAATTCAGACTGCCAATTGGTCCGAAAATTCAGACTACCTGGTAGTCGTAAAATTCAAAGTACATGCCAGTCTGAAAATTCAGACAACAGGTGGTCCAAAAATTTAGAGTGTCCGGGGGGTCTGAAAATTCAGAACACGGGGTTTCAAAATTGACTTCAGTAGTATGGCTACCCCATAGTCCCGGCCTGGTCCCGTGGTCTAGGCCTGGGCGATTATTGGTTGTAATCGTAATCGGCCGATGAATAAAATAATCGCGATTGGTGTCGATTAGCAGTTCGGTAATCGGGAATCGAAAACGTACACGATTAATCGAAATACAACGATTAATCGGGGGAAACCGATTATTTGGAAATTGACAAACAAAGGTTAATACTCGTACTATTGTGAAAATAGCATGTGATAAGAGGATAGGAAACCTCGCAACCTCGAGTGTCTGTGACAGCTTTTGTGCCTTAACTGAAAACTTTTCAAGACGTTTCCGCTCAGAATTTGAACAGGAGATGGATAGAATATCCGATAAAGGGACGATTAATCGACAATCGATCATCGTTAAATAATCGGTCAATACTTCGAATACCGAAGCACGAATCGGGGGTTTGAAATAATCGGACGATTAACAAAATAATCGCGATTATATTCGATTAATCGATTAATCGCCCAGGCCTACCGTGGTCCCCCATAGGCCCGGGTCTAACCTAACCTGAAAATTTTGGGGGTGATCAATTTTTTTCGATTTTTTTGGTGATTTGGCCAAGATTCAGGCTGTAACCCAACCTAACCTAAGTCGGTCGTCATCTTTTTCGGCTCTAACCCAACCCAACCTAAGGTGAGTCGGCATCTTTTTCGGCGCTAACCCACCCCAGCCTAAGCCCAGGCGGTGGTCCCCCATAGTCCCGGGTAGCTGGCGACCGTCCCGGAGCGCCGCCAGTGGGCGGAAAGACCGCTTTTGACGGGAAAAAGTCATTACAACCGAATTACTCGTCCGAAAAACATCATTCATCCGTATTCTATGTTGTTGGGGTCGCTGATTCTAAATCTGATCATATTTCGAACTTTTCAGGGGCGGATCCGGAGATATAAGGGGGATAGATTTTAATTTTGGAGCAATCCGCGCTAAAACTCCGTACTCTGGGTTTTGGGGGTCGCTGATTCCAAATCTGGCCATGTATTAATTTTTTGGCCCCTCCCGTTTATTTTTTGTAAAAAAATGACGGAGGGACGGGCATATAGTATGATGCATGCTGTGCGTCCGTTCGTTCGTCCGTCCGTCCGTCCCTCCGTCCGTCCGTCCGAGGACTTCCGTGGTCCGATCTTGACCAAATTTGGTATGCAGCCTCCTTGGGTGACCCTAAGAACCGCCCGGGGGCAGCAAAAACCGATCCGAGCCCCGGGGCGCTGCTGCAGGTGCATCATGGTCTACATGGGGTCGAGGAGGATCTCGGCAACGGATGCAGCTAGCAGGGCATGTAGGGGTATTTTTGGAATCGGGGCGACGAGAAAAAACCAATGGTGCCACTTTTGAACGAATCGGAGAAGTTTGGACCCGGGTTCAAATCCCAGTGGGGTATATTTTAAACTTTCTTTTCATTCGAGTTTCTGCATAGTTGCTTATGTTTTTGAGGGAGCTGATGACGAAAAAACATAATTTTTGACCCTAGACCCTGGTTTAAATTCGTCAGGGTTAAACAAAGGCGAAATTCACACATTTGTTAATGTACGGGACGGGCCAAAGTTGCCGATGTATATCGCTACTTTTCCTGTTATTTGTAAGAAAAATGACGGAGGGACGGGCATATAGTATGATCCCTGCTGTGCGTCCGTCCGTCCGTTCGTCCGTCCGAGGACTTTTCCCCTGGTCCCATCTGGACCAAATTTGGTATGCAGCCTCATCCGAGCCCCGGGGACGCTGCTGCAGGTGCATCATGGTTACATGGGTCGAGGAGGATCTCGGCAACGGATGCAGCTAGAAGGGTAGTACGGGTATTTTTGGAATCGGGGCGACGAGAAAAAAACCAATGGTGCCAGTTTCGAGAGAATCGGAGAAGTTCGGACCCGGGTTCCAATCCCAGCGGGGCATTTTTTGAACATTCTTTTTATTCGAGTTTTTGCATTGTTTCTGACGTTTTTGAGGGTGCTGATGACGAAAACGACATTTATTTTAACCCAGACTCAGGTTTAATTCCCGTCAGGTTCAAACATAGGCGAAATTCGTACGTATCTTACTGTACGGGACGGGCCAAAGTTGCCGATGTAAATCGCTACTTTTCCTGTTATTTTTTCTGGGGCAGATCCAGTGACACAAGGGGGGTAAATTTTATTTTTCGAGCATACCGCGTCAAAACGTCCCATATCAGTTTTCAAGGGTCACTGATCCTAAATCTAGCCATGTTTCGAACTTTGCAGGGGCAGATTCTGTGAATCAAGGTGGGTGACTTTAATTTTTCAAGGTTTATTCAAGGTTTAAGAGGGTCATTATCATCATCCTGATTCTAAATCTGGCCATTTTTCGATTTTTCTATGGACGGATAGTATTAATTTTCTGTATAATTTACTAAATCAACAGCGTAGGCCCCCTATTGTGGCAACAGTTTTTATTGCGTTACTTCTTCTACTTCTAATAAGGCAACGACACGTTACAGACCAAGCTACAGCACTGATCGACTCCGAACGCGTCATTGGACCAGTTGTGTCGCCCCGATTCCGAATATACCCATATTTGCTGTCCTAAGTCGACAACACTGAAAAATCATTGTACAAGGGGAGGGGGCGCAGGGGAAGGGGGGAACTGGGAGTGAACGGGAGGGGGAGGGGAAAGGGAGGGGGCCGGAGGCGGGAGGGGAATGCCCTGAGACGACCTATGCGATTGACATGCGTCGGGACCCGTTTTTTCGTACGCAAGCTCACACAAATCGAGCCATAAACTTCGGAAGGGCAGCTATGGGCAGCTAATTCTTTTTCCCTCCGAGAGAGCACTCTTTGCGGCCCCAAATGAACCTTGAGCGAGCGCGGGGCAACTTGAGGCTTTTTATGCCGCCCAAGGGAACTTTGGAATTTTGTGTTTTGTGACATGCAAATTTCAAACGGCCGTAGTTTTGTCAAATATACTCGAAATTACAATCCGAGGACAGTTTTGGAATCCTCGTGAATTGCAATTTCTAAAAATATCCGGGTTGTAAAATTAGATCTAAAACTGACTCAGTAAACGCAGCGAATGTATGCGCTTTATGTTGCGATATTTCTAAGCGAATAGATACATGTGACTTTCAAGCCTTCTATGAGAAAAACGAAAAGACGCATGATAAAAACAAAGGCAGATTTGAATTCGGCACACTTTTTTGAGCTAGGAAAGTGCATTCATTGGAATCTGGGTTGCGGAGCCCGACTTTTTCCCGTCAAAAGTGGTCTTTCCGCCCACTGTGCGTCACCTCGCACTGCCATACTGATTTTCCTTTTCTTTGATATAACTTTAAGCCATAAATAAAATATCAATCATATACATCGGTTACTTTTCTCAGAATGATCGTTTTTTCGAAACCTCTGCATTTTTACTGGTGTGCCCCCTTAAATCTTCGAAGCCCGAAATTTGGCAGTAATTAAGGCACTCTGTAATTTTGCGCGACTTTTTTTCAGTTTTGAATTATTGTGCGATGTTGGGTAGGTTCTAGAGGCACTTTGAATTTTGGCCCCATGATCACGGAAGTAGGGTTTCTGACCCACTGTGCGACGGTCCAGGTAAATACATAATTGACCACACATGTTCCGTACTTTTCCCGTTCTCTTTTTTCTGCCAAAGCCTTCCTCGTCGCCTTCACGGAAGTTGGCGGTGTCCAGTGGCCGTCCGACACTCTGCAAAACCAAAGCCCCGCGCCGCGGACACGCTATTCGCGTGCCGGACCTGCCGCGCTCGGGACGACACTCGCCATGGCGACGCTCCTCCGGCTGCTGGCCGTGCTGGCCGTGCTGGCGGCCGCCAACGCCTTTCTGCGCCGCCCGCGGCGGCTGCGGCACACCAAGCCCGAGTTCTGGATGAGTTCGGTAAGCGCGCAGGGAAATAACAGCTCGGTCGGTGCAGTCAGAATGGGCGGTCGAAGGGATCAACCTCTTGCCATTGACAAACTTTTCGGTTGCCACAATGGACCTTCGATCACTACGGTCAGGATAATTGAATACCTCAAACAGAAAAATCGTCACCACTGCAAAATTTCATCAATCAACCCAGCCCTATTTCTAAGACACTGCAACATACGTTGTGAGCAGTACAACAAAAGCATCACGGAAACTGTATAAAGGTAAAAAAGGGCTAAATTTAACAACGCCTTGAATGCACGAGTTGTCTTGCTGTCTAAATAAAGCTCTGCACAATGATTGTTGTACTTTTTAAAATAAAAATGCAATAATTTTTACGGCAAAATGTTTGGCAGGAATTTTTGTACCTTTGTTGGGGATTATTTTTCTCGTATTTTAAACTTACTCTTTTGGATGAAAAGCACCAATTCGGGAATTTTGGGCTGCAATCGGCGCTTGCATTGATGTTTTGTCAAGTTGGAAGATCACTGCACTGTAAATGTTTTACGCTGAAAGGCTGGTGGAGATTTTCTCCGTAACACCAATGAAATTCGTAAGGTACAGTAGTGAATTCTCAATGGTATGTTATTTTGTCAGCTGCACCACCATAATTTGGAACATTTTCACCATAATATGGAGAATCTTCACTGTAAACAGTTAGAGTGTGTTGTTTCTTAGGTTATAAGTTTCCAACAATTTGGAGTGATCGAAAGGCTAATGCGACTCCTTAAAATAACAGCATTCACTGTGGCAAAAAGGTACGGAAAATTCTGTTAATTTTTTTGCCAGGATTCTCCGTAGCCCTCTTATCAATATGCTCCGTAGGCTCTTACAGTATTCTCCGTAGGGCCGCACAGTATTCTCTGTTAGTCCGCTTAGTCTTCTCCGTAGGACCTCGAAGACTGTATAGTCCTACGGAGATCACTGTAAGGTCCTACGGAGAATACTGTGCGGTCCTACAGAGAATACTGTCAGAGCCTACGGAGAATATTGATGAGGGGGCTACGGAGAATAACCACAAGCTGTTTACAGAATATTCCGTAGCTTTTTGCCACAGTGTTTATGGCAGCCAAAAAAAATTCTCGTTAAAAACGTTATAATGTTTTGGGTTTTGGCTGGTCTGGGCCTAGATCATCACAGTTTTGGTGTGATAAAGTGATAACTACGCTAGAAAAGTAATAATACGATAACGCAATACAATATTTTTTGCGCTTATAACGCAGTGATCTTCTCATTGCGCTAGTATACAATGAAATGTTATTGCATTTGAAATGAGTTCATAATTACATCTGGAAAACCACTGATCTTGTATTAATTTGAACAAGAAAAAAAAAGAAATTGGACACAAACCAAAATATCCAAAGCTGTGTTTCATCTTCAAAAGAATATATAAAGAAAGCCGTAACTCGTAAAATAAATGTCTGTGGGGCCAGAGCTTTTGGCTTTGGTCCACCATTTAAATGTTAAGTAACGTTCCTTAAACTGAGAAACATCGGAGGGAGAGGTTCACTGGGAAAATTGGTCAAGGCTGCATCGGGTTTCGCTACTGGCTTCGCGCTTCCGCCAACCGTCTTTTATGTCTTCGACCTGCAGGTGGAGCTGGCCAAGCGGTACGGCTACACGTTGGAAACCCACACGTTCGTGACGTCGGACGGCTACGAGTTGGTGCTGCACCACGTGGTGGCCAGCAAGAACGGCACCCGCGGAGGCATTCCCGTCGTGTTCGGCCACGGGCTGGCCTCCAGCGACGAGCAGTGGTACTTCCGACCCGACGGACTCGGTAAGTCGATCCAATCTCATCGTAACATTTGACTTCACTGGTTACGAAGCGAGCGAAGCAGTCATAATACGATGTTTTTCCACCATCGTACGGAGATTTAATACCATAATACGAAAACTTGCCTTCGGAAGGCACTCAGAATGTTCCGATTTCAAAGGTCGGTCTTAGTACAAATTTTTTTGTGTGCGATCTTTCTTACGCGGCACAAGTAATCACAAAAATTCTCTTAGGCGGGGGCATGTTTCATTGGGGTAAACTATACAGTTACCGTCAGTTTAAGAGTATCGCTTTCTTTTCAAGGGCCTCTAGGGTAGGTTATGACCAAGGGGAAATAACTCTGAATTTCGGTGTACAAATGAATGAAGTTCGTGAATTTCTTGAATTTCAGTGAACTTCTTGGAATTTTATTGAATTTTTTTGAATTCCAGTGAATTTTTACGAATTTTGGTGAATTCTATTGAACTTCTATAAATTACTTTGAATTTTTTGAATGAATTTTTGCGAATTTTGCTGAATTTTAATGAATTTCTATGAAATACTTTGAATTTTGTAAATTTTAAATTTTTTTGAATTTTGGAGAATTTTAAGAATTTTTGTGAATTTCAATGAATTTTTGAGAACTTGAATGAATTTTGGTGAATTTTAATGAAATTTGGTGAAGTTTTTGCAATATTTAAGTGAAATTTTAATGAATTTTTTTGAATTTTAATGAACTTTTTTGAATTTTAATGAATTTTTTTGAATTTTAATTCAAGTGTACATTTTTTTCTAAAGTTATTTCCCCTTGGTTATGACACTTATACCCGTCCGACTTGTTCCAGACACCTCAGAAGGATCTAGACTACGAAGTGGCTTACAAAGATTTCACCAAAAACTTTTTGTGACGCTTTTATTTAACCTGAGAAAAAGGTTACCAAAACACAGTAAACGGCTACCAAAATAAAGTTATCGGCACCCTTTATGAAAGTTATCGAAGCACCTTGTTAAAAAAGCAAAACATTACCGAAAGTGACGAAAATTTCTAACAGTCGTCACAGACACAATATCACCCCTCGACATGTCACGAACCCCCTCTCCCTTCTGTTATGCCTCTTGCGCCCTCCATTTAAGGGGGGACATCACTCCGAAAACAGTGCTTTTGTAAAATCGTCATAAAAACCAAACGGAAAGAGAAAAATTGTTCATATTTTGACAGATAAAGTATAAAACCACACTAAGTCAATCAGCCAGGGCAGTACAGCGCTTTCGTTAACAAGCTAGGGCCCGCCCTTCCGTCGAACCGAGTTGCCAGCTCCGCTTCGCTGCGCCGGCAACTCGGTTCGACAGGGGACCGGCCCAGCTTGGCCTGCCGGCGGCCTTTTCTCGGGCCTTCGGCCCTCGCATCAGACCCAACTTGGCCAGTCGAAGGCCCGGGCCTTCGGCCCGATCGCATCACACACACCGTGAGCGGGTAAAGCAAAGTTATCGATGTACCATCGTGACTTAGGCCCGCCCTTCTATTCACAATATGCAATAGTCCTTACACTTTTTACTCCAACTGTCCTTAGAATATGCCCATTTCATTTGTCTCTTCGCCCTCATTCCGAAAATACCCATATTTGCCATGCTACTGCAACTCCTTGCAATAGAGGCACAGCAGGAGCGCAAAACGAGTCCGTCGCACTTTTTCCCATAACTCATGAAGGCGGGCTCCTGGACCCCCTTTCCGACCCCTCCTTGAAAAGGTCTTGCTGAGACCAATCGAAATCGGCAATAAATATTTTTAGTCGGTCGACCCCCTTTTTTGAAGATCCTGATCTGGCCAACTTGTAAAAGCGGCCGATGGGGTCGGGACCAGGTCCATTCATCTTGTCTCGTCGCCCCGATTCCAAAAATACCCTTATGTGCCCTGCTAGCACCAATAATGGCGGAAATCCCCCTCCCGCTCATGTAAACCATGATGCACCTGCGGCAGCCCTTGTGCGACCCGGACGGGATTTGCACCACCGGATTATTTGTTTGGACGGTACTCCTGAAGTACCCTCCAAATCTGGTTACTCTAGCTCAACTCCTTCCTTGTACACAGACGCCAACAACAACAACAACACACAGACACAAAGGCAAATGCATAGGCCCTCCCTCTATTTTTTGAATAGAAGGGCGGGCCAAAAACGCATTTTTGAGTGTCAGGTTAGACCATTTCGCACGGTTGCAGCGCTGGACGCCAAACGGTTTGACCTAGAACAACGAAATTTTGTGACAGCCTTCCTGAGATGTCTGGCTATGGTGGGTACCTCAATCACATTTAAAAAATCATTTTAAGTTGTGTTTGTTACATACCAAAAAATATTGTTAAATTTTTTTGGTCAAAATTTTCCAATTTTAAACGTTAAAAAAATAATAAAAATAGACCAATGCAAATTATTTTGCTACCCACCATAGCAGCATGTCGTAGGAGCTTCCATGCTAAATCTCCCCGCTGTAGCTCAAAAACTGCGCCCTAGAGGCCTGCAACCGTTTGCAATTTCATGTTCCGAGAAAAACGCGATCAAAGTTGGGGAAACTGGGCTTTTCTCCTAAGCATGTTTGCGGCCCGCAACCTCCCAAAACCGCAATTTTTTGAATTTCGGAATGCGGTTTTCAACCATTTGACGCAGAAAAGAATGGTCTGTAGTATAAACTTATAAAAAAAAGTTGCGATTTTTTATCATTTTGGAGTGATGTCCCCCCTTAAGACTCACGGACAACTAGCACCATGAGCTTAAAAAAAACAACCTTTTAAGGAGGCACACCAGTGAAAATCGTTAGATTTTTACCTTCTTTTTTTATATTATCTTATTTTTCTGCTATTCATCCCGAGTCGAATGCCGCAAACCTCACCCCAAAATTCCAATTACTTTGGCTTGTGCACATTTTAAAAGTGGCTAAAAAGGCAATTATTTTTGGATATTTACGCCAATTGTTAGTGCTCAGGTTCTTCACTTGAAATTTAATTGCAAACCCCTTGAACCACCCAAACGAAGTTAAAAAGAGGGACATTTTGGCGCAAACTGAAATTAAATAGGTCAAAAGGCGCATTTATAATCTGAAAAAAAAAACCCACTTCAAACATGTTTTTACTAAAAGGGCTTTTTCTCAAAACTCCTTTTTTGTACCTTTGTGCCACTCTCATGGGCGCAAAAATTGAGATAATTTAATGCGGTTTGCGGCAAAATGTTCGTTAAACTTGCGTCTATGGTCTGAACCTCGGACGTGAGCTGCAGCCATAAAAGTGCGAAAAAATTGGTTTAAAAATTTGTTTCTATTTAAGCCTTTTGAAAAAACAAATTCTTAATCATTCTTTTTGCATGCCCGTGGTTCAGACCATAGCCACATGTGTCCTGTTGAGAAATTTTAAAATCCCGTGCTCGAGGCTCAATCTAGAGAGGCGGAATCGTGGCAGGAGTGAAGCAAGGTCGCAGAAAAATGAAGTGTACTGGCGCTCCGTCTTGCCATCGCCACCCTGCCCTCCCATTCTGATTTTTCTTTTCTTCGATTTAATATTGAGCCACGAATAAAATATCAATCGAATACGTAGGTTTCTCGTCACAGAATGATCGTTTTCGAAACCTCTGCATTTTCACTGGTGTTCCCCCATAAAGCGCCGAGGAGGACATATCGCAAATCACGTAGATCACTAGGGGAAAAGTGGTCCGATTTCATTCAAATTTTGCAGGGGTCTTCCTACGGTCATAATGCATCAGAATATTAAGGGGGCACACCAGTGAAAATCGTTAAATTTTTGCCTTCTTTTATATTTTATCTTATTTTTCTGCTATTCATCCCGAGTCGAATGCCGCAAACCCCACCCCAAAATTCCAATTACTTTGGCTTGTGCACATTTTTGAAGTTGTTAAAAAGGTTATTATTCCTGGATATTTTGGACCAATTGTGAACGTTCAGCTTTTTCACTTGAAGTTTAATTACAAAACCCTTGAACCACCCAAACGCAGTTAAAAAGAGGGTCATTTTGGTGCAAAACGAACTTAAATACGTCAAATAGCGCATTTATAATCCAAAAAAACCGTCAAATCTATGTTTCTACTAAAAGGGCTTTTTCTCAAAACACCTTTTTTGTACCTTTGTGCCACTCTCACGGGCGCAAAACTTGAGATAAATTAATGCGGTTTGCGGCAAAATGTTCGTTAAACTTGCGTCTATGGTCTGAACCTCGGAAATGGCTATCCCATAAATAGGACGTGAGCTGCAGCCATGAAAGCGCGAAAAAATTGGTTAAAAAATTTCTTTTTATTTTTGCCTTTTGAAAAAACAAATTCAAAATCATTCTTTTTGCATGCCCGTGGTTCAGACCATAGCCACATGTGTCCTGTTGAGAAATTTTCAAATCCCGTGCTCGAGGCTCAATCCAGAGAGGCGGCATCGTGGCAGGAGTGAGACGAGGTCGCAGAAAAATGAAGTGCACTGGCGCTCCGTCTTGCCATCGCCACCCCGACCTCCCATACTGATTTTTCTTTTCTTTGACATAATTTTGAGCCACGAATAAAATATCAATCGAATACATAGGTTACTTTTCTCAGAGTGATCGTTTTTCAAAACCTCTACATTTTCACTGGTGTGCCCCCTTAACCCCCTAACGATGCCCGAAACAGCAGTGAAGTTTGAGCCCACCCTGACGATAACTGTGTTTGGGGTGATTTTTCTGGTGCAGTTATCGGCACGCCCCGAATGAGGACAATCAAGAGGAATTTCCGTGGACCAAGCACAGTATGCCCTCTTACATAAATGGGGACACGGAACCTGACAAAAAGAATAGTTTTTTCCGGTCCACATTCACGAATTGAACGAAAGATTGAACCCCTGTTCCTGGCATAGAAAATAATAACAGGCGGCCGAAGCGACCTCTTTCTGCACTTGACAAGAAACGTGGCTCTGTTGGCTGACACGCTAAATCAAACGCGATGCTGTCTCGGTCCTGCATGCTCAAAAGGTGTCTCTGGCTACCTGCATTGGCCGCATCACTA